AGAGAAAAATGAAAAATTAAGCTTCATATATGGAGGCAAAGTCAAAGATCTTTGGATAATAAAGAGAGATTTATCTCCTGACAACTTGTCTTTATTGTCAACTTTATCTGACAAAGATGTAACAACTTTAAGTTGTTTTGACGGATTGTTATCCATATCATATTTATGTGATGATGACTTTATAGGGAGTGGAAGATAATAAGTATTTTTATATGCATCAAAATAATGAGCATCCGTATATGGATTAAAATAATATGCACTTCGATATGCATAAAAAACATCTTTATAGTCATCAGAAAAATATGTATTTTTATATGCAAAACCTGGGTTTCTAATAGTTATACCACAAAGTTTATTTATCATAGTAGCGGTATTTTAACATAATTAAAAGACGAATTACAGTAGCAACTCAAAGAAGATAATAGTGAAACATATAAGTCAACAGAAAAACCTTTGAGATATACTATAGCTTTAAACTTATTTAAATTTAAACTTAATCATAAAGATGACTATGTTAAAAATATGGAAGAAATATAATTTTCTGATATTGAAAATAAATTGCAAAACTGGGATATACCCTATTACCATACTGTATGTCTTGAAGCTAAGTTTTTGAACCTTAAAGGTCAAACCACCTTAATTTAAAGCACACATGATTTTTCTAATTCACTGAAACTTGTACAAAAATTTCAAATTGATTTTATTATTGGTGGGAAATTCATTGTGCTATTGACATGATATATCTTGAAAATTAAAAAATTTATTTGACTTGTATAAAGACAAAAGTCCGTCCTTAACGGACAATGATATAACAACTAAGCCAATTATAAATTTCTCACTTGAATTCTTTATTCCATAGATTTGGGTGTAAACTTTGACTTGTGATTATAATTATAACGGACATTCCAGATTAATGAGGGAATATCAAGTTCGTTATTGAAATAATTACAACACTAACGCTAAATATCAGATTATTGAGGAATGTCTTAAAGACATGGATAAAGAAGAAGATAAATCTTTCANTTACTACAACGACTGTGAATAGTGTACAGTAAAAAGTGTATATTAATTATGACGTAAGTAATGACATCATTATAAATTATTAAAGTTAGGAACAATATAAAGTTGTGAATAATATTTTTTATTTTAAAATCTGGATTTCATGTCTGGCTCTATATATATGGGTGCAGACCCGACNAGCATAAATACTGGAACTAATTTAAAATATGATTAGTTTTTGGTTTAGATAATCTAATTTTATTTATTTCGTCAGCTTGTATATGGTGTAGAGAATCTTCAAATTGTTNATTTTTTATTTTAAAATCTGGATTTCATGTCTGGCTCTATATATATGGGTGCAGACCCGACTTGTGGAGCATCGCCCCCCAGACCACTCTCTACCTCACCCACTTCTCTACCAACTCCCTTGATCATCTCCTTCCTTCCTTCCCTCTTGCACTCTCGGTGAACTCTTTTCTTGTATAAACCCTCATTCTTTCACCTCCTACTCTACTACTGTAAGTATACTCTACTTTGTAAATACACTTTTGAATTAATAAACGTTTAGATCTATTACTAATTCTTGTTGCTTGTGTAATTGTGATTTAATTCTGTTGGACTACTCATACTTTGATATTGTGAAAATAATCTTGTGATAATGAAGTTTCTCTGAGAGCTTTTATTGTTTGTTAAAGTTGTGTTTGCATGATATTTTCCTTAGTGCTTCTTATGGTCTTGCCTTCATGGTCGCGTATGAGGGATGGTAGGCCGTTTTTTCCGTAGTTAGGAGTGTTTAGGCCGTTTATTCCCTTTGAGCGTATACAACGTTGATTGCAAGAAAATAGAATTTTGGGAAAAATTCACTAAAACAAGTTTAGCTCACAATAGGATGCTGAGAAAATAATTATTTCAGAATTATTGTAGTAATTGTCATAGTAGCGGTACTTTAACAGAATTAAAAGACGAATTACAGTAGCAACTCGAAGAAGATAATAGTGAAACATATAAGTTAATAGAAAAACCTTTGAGATACCACTATGACTTTAAACTTATTTAAATTTAAACTTAATCATAAAAATGACTATGTTAAAAATATGGAAGAGATAGAATTCTCTGATATTGAAAATAAAGTAATGACAGCTTAAGTTTATTCTGTTGATTTATATGCAGATCTATTACTAACTTTATCTTTCCCTTTACCTTTTATAGCATTGTCGGAAGGCTAACGAGATGCATCTTTTCTATTTTGCTCATGCCAAAAATAGACATGATCTAAAAATCGAATTCCTCCATAACCGCTGCTTTAAGCTGCTCAAAATTTAAATGAGGTTTTTCTTTTTTAATTAGTTCTTTAAGAACTTTCATAGAATTTAAATTAGTTCCAGTATTTATACTGATAAAGGGAACAATAGATGTAGAAAATAAAGTTTTATTTGTTGAAGATTTATCTTCTGCTTTATTAATGTCTTTAAGACATTCCGCTATGATTTTACTTTTAAACTCAAGCGGGTAATTTTTCTAAAAGTGGATTAAATATTCCCTAATTTGTCTGGGATCATTAATATCATAAGGATATATCCTTTTAATAACTTTAGAGAAAAATGAAAAATTAAGCTTCATATATGGAGGCAAAGTCAAAGATCTTTGGATAATAAAGAGAGATTTATCTCCTGACAACTTGTCTTTATTGTCAACTTTATCTGACAAAGATGTAACAACTTTAAGTTGTTTTGACGGGTTATTATCCATATCATATTTATGTGATGATGACTTTATAGGGAGTGGAAGATAATAAGTATTTTTATATGCATCAAAATAATGAGCATCCGTATATGGATTAAAATAATATGCACTTCGATATGCATAAAAAACATCTTTATAGTCATCAGAAAAATATGTATTTTTATATGCAAAACCTGGGTTTCTAATAGTTATACCACAAAGTTTATTTATCATAGTAGCGGTATTTTAATATAATTAAAAGACGAATTACAGTAGCAACTCAAAGAAGATAATAGTGAAACATATAAGTCAACAGAAAAACCTTTGAGATATACTATAGCTTTAAACTTATTTAAATTTAAACTTAATCATAAAGATGACTATGTTAAAAATATGGAAGAAATATAATTTTCTGATATTGAAAATAAATTGCAGAACTGGGATATACCCTATTACCATACTGTATGTCTTGAAGCTAAGTTTTTGAACCTTAAAGGTCAAACCACCTTAATTTAAAGCACACATGATTTTTCTAATTCACTGAAACTTGTACAAAAATTTCAAATTGATTTTATTATTGGTGGGAAATTCATTGTGCTATTGACATGATATATCTTGAAAATTAAAAAATTTATTTGACTTGTATAAAGACAAAAGTCCGTCCTTAACGGACATGATATAACAACTAAGCTAATTATAAATTTCTCACTTGAATTCTTTATTCCATGGATTTGGGTGTGAACTTTGACTTGTGATTATAATTATAACAGACATTCCAGATTAATGAGGGAATATCAAGTTCGTTATTGAAATAATTACAACACTAACGCTAAATGTCAGATTATTGAGGAATGTCTTAAAGACATGGATAAAGAAGAAGATAAATCTTTCATTGATAAAACTTCATCTTCTGCATCTATTGTTCCCATTACCAACATAAATACTGGAACTAATTTAAAATATGATTAGTTTTTGGTTTAGATAGTCTAATTTTATTTATTTCGTCAGCTTGTATATGGTGTAGAGAATCTTCAAATTGTTGGATTTCAGTTTCAGATTGCTCTTCACCTTGTGTTTTAGAGATGACATTGTATCTCAAAGGTTTTCTATTAACTTATATGTTTTACTATTATCTTCTTCGAGTTGCTACTGTAATTTGTCTTTTAATTCTGTTAAAGTACTTCTACTATAACAATTGTTACAATAATCCTGAAATAATAATTTTCTCAGCATCCTATTGTGAGCTAAACCTGTTTTAGTAAATTTTCTCCAAAATCTATATATATATACTAGTCATAACCCGTGCCTGAAGGCATAATAAGATATAAAATTCGAGTGTTCAAAAAATCGATTTCACCATATTAAATTTTTTTAAAATATATTAACTATAAATTAATTAAATATTAAATGATTAAATATATGATAAAAATGAGTGGTGAGATTTTTAGAGAGGAAATAAATAAATGATTAAATATATGATAGAAATGGTGATGTGATTTGACGTTTGAGTCTGACAAAGGAATGATGGTGTGAAATAAGTGATTGATGATGGTTTTGAGGGAAAAAATATAATTAGGATAAAATTTAAACACACTCATTTTTTATCATATATATATATATATATATATATATATATGAATATCCAAAATTATTCTCCTTATTTTCAAAATTTTCAAAGAAAACTCTGAAAATAAATTACACTTATTTTCTGTTTTTTTTGACTCAAATCTCATTTTGTTTCAAAATTTAGAGAACAAAATGTTAGACAAACAAGTTTTAGGTGTTTTCGAAATTTTGAGAACAAAAAACAGTTTCCAAAAACTAAACCAAACATGACCTAAATTTTTTTTCTTTTTTGTCTTCTCTAAATGAAAAGAATTGGAAATAAAGAAATAAAAAACAAAAATAAAAAAAAAAGAAACAGGAAATTAATTTAAAGCTACAAGTAGTGCTAATAGTCGAAAGTGCCCGAATAAGTTCAAGTTGGGCTTAAAAAATTTGCTTTTTTTTAATTGAATTTAAAAAATTATTTAAACTCGAATAATTTTGAGTCTAAATTAGTGCAAAACGAGTAGAGTCTAAATATTTGCAGATAAATTAATCGAACTTACTGAGTTCAAACTAAGTCCATCCAACTCGTTTTTGAAATAAGACTTTGAAAATAGTCGAATTTGAACCAACTAAAAATGAAGTAAACCAAAGTCAAGTGCGAACTGAAAATGAAGTAAACCCGAATGCGAGTAGTTCGGTTTCTTAACGGTCCTAACCACAAGAGCAGAGTTAGGTTCTATAATGTCGGGATAGTAATCCAGTGAAGCAAGGTGCAGCCGAAGTGAATAAGGATATTTCTATCTTCCTCTCTATTTTGCACCGGAAAGAAAGAGTTGACAGGAGGGACAAGAAGATAAAAGGAAAGATCAATTCCTTTAACAGTAGTACCCTCAAATCTTTCTCCCTCGCTCTCCTTCAAATCCCAATTCGCCAAATGAACTTCTCCTCTTCAACCAGGCCAGTTCTCTCTCTCTCTCTCTCTGAATTACTTATTTCACACACTAATACCGACTGTAATTCTTTGGCTTACAGTGTTTGTAGTTGCTACTCTGTGGGCTGGAAATCGTCTAGCTTGTTCGTACAACAAGGGTTTCTCTCTAACGCCCAAAATGGGGTTTTCCTCTCTCGTAAACCCAAAGAAATCACTTATTACAAATACCCTCGGGTCTCCTCTTCCGCATCTTCTGGTACGTTCCTCAATCTCTTGCCAATACGGGGGCTTAAATTTTCACATGGGTTTATGTACTAATATGAACATTTTACAGTTAGAGCTCAGTAATTATTCATCACATTGTTGTATGGATGTTAGCAAGTAACTTCTGTCTGCATTTTACCCAGATTTGTATGCTTCTTAACCGATGTAATGAACTCAGTGCTGCACAATAACAATCAACATGAGCACAGGGAGGTGTTATTGACCATGTTGCACGAGCTTATCTATTATTTGTTTCAGAAAGTATATGGATCAACTTGGTATTGTAATTAAGCCATTGTGATGAGAAATCAATGTATGCTGTATTAGTGTCTGCAAAATTCATGATTTTGAAATGGAAATGGGACAGTAGTCAATTAAAATTTGAATTAGTGCGGTCCATTCCAAATCATTGTTGGGATTTCACACGATTTAAATCCACTATCAAACACACACAATCGAAGAACAAATCAAGAATATAAAGCAATAAAAAACAAGAAAGAACAAGACACAGATTTTATGTGGTTCGGCAATTTGCCTACGTCCACGAAGCTGCTGGGATTTCACTATTGAGAGAGTTGAATACAGAGAGCGGCTGTACAATCCACGATTAACCCTAATCACCAAAACAACAGGGTTTATATGTCCTACGCACTGGGCTGTATAACGGGCCCAAAAAAATTTTCCTCGGGGGCGTTGCCCCCAAACCCCCACGAGGCTTGTCCATGAGCGCTACGGCTTGGGCCTATCGGCCCAAGCTTTCGCTCCATGGACTAAGCCTCAGAAAAATTTCTATTAAAAAACTACACAACATTATTTCGGGTCGGGTCATCATCCGGATCACATATACAAACTAGACTCCATAAAAAAAAACCAACAATCATGGATTCCTTGCTACCAACTGTAGTCTTAATTCACTTTATGTTTTTAGGTTCTGCAGCAATTTCAGAAGTCAGTTCTAGTACCTTTCTCAATGAGCTGATGTTATCTGGAACATTTACTTTCCTGTCATTAATGTAATGCCTGAACCCATGTTACATGGATTGAGGTACAAGTCTAAGTCATGGTATGTGTCGGGTTCGTCTAATTTCTAAGTTCATGTATTAGGGGCTCGGAGAATTATTTATAATCTGTGTTGTTTTTGTTTATTTACTATCTTGAAAAATGGTGTTCTATGTAACATAATGTTTTGACATGGGGTTCAGATCCTCTTTTGGTCAGGGCGGCAAGAAGAGAGCCTGTAAATCGCCCTCCAGCATGGATGATGCGTCAGGCAGGAAGGTATATGGCTGTTTACAGAAAGCTTGCAGAGAAATACCCATCCTTCAGAGAGAGGTCAGAGACAACTGATCTTATTGTGGAAATTTCTTTGCAGCCTTGGGAGGCTTTCAATCCTGATGGGGTTATTATTTTCTCTGACATACTTACCCCTCTAGCGGCATTTGGTATCCCATTTGACATAGAAGAGGTGAGGGGCCCGGTTATCCATGCTCCAATACGTTCTGAGGAGGGTTTGAAAGCATTGCATCCAATTGACTTGGAGAAATTACATTTCGTGGGAGAATCCCTTAGAATTTTGCGCCATGAGGTACTTCTTGTTCTTCACCTAATGAATTCAGAAAGTGCTAGGTAGTTTAGCATTGGTACTCTATTTCATAGTTGAATTGTATGGTTTTAGCTATTGTTTTATTGATTGACGTCTGTATTTACTTATTGAGGTTGGGGAGCGAGCTGCAGTTCTGGGTTTTGTGGGAGCTCCCTGGACAATTGCTACATACATAGTAGAAGGGTGTACAACCCGCACATATACGACCATAAAGAGCATATGCCACACTGCACCCCATGTATTGAGGGCTCTTCTCTCGCATTTAGTACAGGCGATATCTGAGTATATTGTTTTTCAAGTGGAGTCTGGAGCTCATTGTATACAAATATTTGATTCATGGGGAGGACAACTACCACCTGACATGTGGGAGCGCTGGTCAAAGCCCTATATTGTTGAGGTAACTTGGAGGAGTTTTGTTGGTCAGGGAAAAGAAAACAAAAACTTTCTTGTTCCTGCCTCATGATGAATGACTCACTGTGCTCCTTTTCACCTTCCTGTTTGTGTATTTGTTTTCTTCTCCTAAAATTGAAAACTTAGTTTGCTTTATGCTTATACTTGTTTCCATCAAGCTGGTTTTAGGCTCATCACACAAGCATGATTGCCATGATGTGCAACGTATAAAGCTTCCAATGTTTGTTATGTGCTTAATTTTGTCCAGAAATGCATTAGAAGCTGACGAATCTGAAAGCTAGATACTCTTAAGAATGGCGAATGACTATCTCCTTGTCAAGATTTGAAATTGTTGACAGCAGCTATATTAGTTCTCAACTTTTCATGTTTTGGTACAATATTGCACATTTGTCCTGTCTGTGTGGGGTTCATGTCTTTATCCTGTACAGATAGGCAGTTTTCGTATCACAGCTCCTATGTTCTTTTTTGATCATCTCTTATGGTTTCTGAAATCTCAGATTGTGAGTATAGTAAGGAAAAAGTGCCCTAAAACACCACTTGTTCTCTACATTAATGGAAATGGCGGTCTTCTTGAACGGATGAAAGAAACTGGAGTCGATGTGATTGGGCTAGACTGGACAGTGGATATGGAAGATGCAAAGAAGCAATTGGGAAATGATATAAGTGTCCAGGGAAATGTGGACCCTGCTTATTTATTTTCTCCTCTTCCTGCTTTGACGGATGAAATTGAAAGGTTTGTCAATAAACTAGAGCATAAAGCACATGTTGAAGATTGGTTGCTTTTAGAGTTCAGTTCTTATAAATTGATGATCAAATCCATTTGGCAGGGTTGTGAAGTGTGCAGGACCGAGGGGTCACATACTCAATCTGGGCCATGGTGTTCTTGTTGGCACACCTGAGGAAGCAGTCGCTCATTTCTTTGACATTGCAAGAAACTTAAAGTTTGATCCTCCTGTTGAAGATCATGCACTGGGAGAAGCTAAATTGGTAGTTTAAAGAAGCCATTAGAAATTTGATACACATTTGGAAGATCCTGCTTTGAGAACCTAAATTGGTGGCTTGAAAACAACGTTTTGGCTGGGTACGAGATGTTGATTCTGTTGTATATGGAGGCTGTTAATTTCATGCTCTAACTAACCCCCTCCCCAACCACAAATAGAGATTTTTTGCTAGGTTATTTGAAGCTTTGAGGTCCTCCACATTCTTTGGGTGAGATACCTAGTTCTGTTCAATTGTCTTTATTCGAGATGAATCAATAGATTGCTTGTTCCTTTTTTTATATACTTGCGTCTTCATGGTACATTGATTTATGGGTGATTATTATGTGGGTAAGATTGCCAAATTAATGGTGGTTGAAGAGCTTCAAACTATCTATTAGCACGTGCAGGGCAACTGTATACTGCAGCATGGTGCTGTAATGGCATGAGGTACAGTTTTAAACTAACCTGGTGTTTTCCTTTACGTATGGATGAATGAAGCTAAGATCTTACTATGTAATTGGGCATACAATGGTTGCAACCGGACTTTGGACACATGTTATCTTCCTCTAGTTCTCGCAATCATAGAGATGGTCAACACTTCATGTACCCCCCCAACCAAAACCCACAACTGTAGATTAGGGTGTAACAGAGTGTTAATGATGAAATTGGTTGATAATAGGCAGCTGAAAGATGCTAGTTGCAGGATCAGAGTTCACCTTTTGCTATTGTTTGATTAAATNAGAATAGGCAGCTGAAAGACGCTAGTTGCAGGATCAGAGTTCACCTTTTGCTATTGTTTGATTAAATCCATAGTGTTGCACCAGCAAAATAAGAAAATAAAGATGACAGTGAATGTAATCTCTCCATAGAGTGGTGTCCAACTTCCACATCTGCTTGCATTGTTTGCGGTTTATGGGGATGAGTGTCTGCTTGTACATTTTGGTGGGAGAAGTTAGCTGTCTAAATGTTAAATATTTCGTTTGCTTTTGAGTTTTGATTGGTAAACAGGATGGGATGAAACTCCTCGTGTTGGTACACTCACTTAGCCAGGGGAGTTAATTTTATCTATAACACAAGCATGGCATAAATCTAAATTAATATGATCAATTTATACTAATACAAAGTTGGTCGGGTTATTGTTAAACACAAATTCAATCCATTTAGTTGGTATTGTAAGAAAAATGATTTTCTTTTTTCATTTGTTACTACGTAGAGAAAAATTGTTTAGCACTTGCATATTTATATGCAGCCCAAGGTAAAGTTGGCGTATAAGATAAAGTTGGTTGTGGGGGCTAATTTGATAAGGTACTTCTTGTTAAGGCCAGCTCCATTGGAAAGGACAACACGATAATTGTTACAATTGTCGGAATTTGATATAGAATGTGTCAATCCCAAAGCCATAAAGGGGCAAGCCTTTGCAGATCTAATGGCCCATCAAAAGACCCTAGCAAGCTTTCTAAAGAAATTCTTGGCTAGATAGATCGAATTGCAATAATAGAAGATGGGCAATGTACCTTATATTGTGATGAATCATCTACATCCAAGGAAAGAAGGTGGTGCAAGAATAGTTTTGGAATCACCAAAAGAAGACTTAACATCTTTATCGTGTAAGTTGAATGAGACATCCGCATTGAAGGAGATTTTCCTAGCACCTTCTAATTCCCTTGTATGCAGAAGCAGTGTGAGTGATGAAATTGATGTGGAATTCACCAATGTGAACAGGTTTACCAATCGACTCACTGATTCTTTGGTCACCCTAGCTTCAAAAAGAAAAAAGTTCAAAGATGATGAAGCTATTATTAAGATCAGCAAACGTCGAACTCTAGCTCTATGAAACTTTAACGATATGCCTATATGAAGGTGTCATTAAAGAAGGAAAATGAAGACATGCCATGATTTAAGAAATAAAGCAATCAGTGTCATCAGTGCACATGGCCAAGAAAAACTTGATGTGTTTCACTAAATTATGTGGTAATTTTGACTAAAAGATATCTGATGGGGTCTTAGCTTGGTTCCTAGGGATCGAAGAAGTATCAAATACACTTTAAGAAGTTCATGATAAGGTCTGTGGGACAACAACAATGGTAAACCTCTACAGACGATTGCAAAGACAAGGTTACTATTGGCCCAATATGGTTAGGAATACAAAAGCTCAAGAAGAGGCTTGTCTAAAATGCACATAAATGCCTGATAGAATAGAATGTGCATTTATCGATCTAGTAGATGAGATGAGAAATAACCATATATTGAATACCTGGCAAAAGGAACTTTACCGGATCATAGATTCGAAGTGAATGCTAATTAACGAAGAGGGTCAAAGGTATATCATGAATGATGGTAAGCTATTCAAAAGAGGTTTACTTGGAATTCTATTGAGATGTCTATATCAAGTGATTAAGCAATGGAGGTTATGCACTAATCACATGCTAGCACCTTGATGGAGCATCAAGGAGGAGGGAGAAAGCAGTTTCAATATTTGCTTAAATCAGAGAAAAAAAGGAATCCCAACTTGTTCGTTGTTACATCTGAAAGGTACTTAACTTCTTTTAAAAAAGTAAGGTCGATTGCCTTGGCTAAAAAGGAATGAAGATAAGTCAATGCGAGGAGTAGTGAACGCCCGCCTCATCGAAAGTGACAAGTGACTTGAATATATTGTAAACTGGTCGAGGTGTGGAATTTATTGGCGAAGTTTCTACTCTATCCTGGCCCTGTAGTAACTTTGGTGGAAGTTTAAGGTTCTTCCCGACTAGCAGGGCTGTTAAAAACCCCTGCTCAAGTAGCTTCTCAGAATCCAAAGCATTTTTTAACTTGTCTGTGTAGCGTCTTATTGGTTTGCTAGTATAGTTAGTTTGTTTTTTGTTTTTTTTAATGATTGTTATAGTATGTGTGGCCCGCTATGGACGTTCTTCAATTGGAAGGTCAGAGGGTTTCAAATAAGTGCTCATCAATATGATTCTTTTTTATTATTATTATTATTATTATTATTGAATGAGTTGTCTTTTCCCTTTCCTTTTAACACTAGATTTGTGTAATAGGATTTTTTTGAAGGTGGAGTTAAGGGTGGTCCTATATCATAATTCACGGAGAAAGGGGAATGTGTAGCTGGCTGCGAGAGAGATTGAATGAAAAAGAAAGAATGTCAACTTTTTGGAATGCTATTCACCCCTACCTGAAGATCAAGTAGGAGAGAAATAAGTAGAGAGAACGGAAGGCTACAGTTGATGCACCACCTCTTAACTTTGATTTCTGTTTTTAAATTTCACTATCTGAACTATGGAACTAAAGGGGGCTATTCAAAGATAAGAACATAACACAATATCGAAGGGGAAGTGAGACCAATATAGATTGAATTTCAAAATTAGGAAAAGGAGTACGAATCCCTATTCGTGGGTTGATTATTGATTCAAAATGCAAGTACCAGATCCTCAATAAGAATTAATCAAAAAGGGGCCAATGAAAGCGTTTGCAAGGACCTTATCGCACATTGATTGACCTATCCGCCATCTCCTTCTTGGAAAGAAAACTCCATTCTGAACCTCTTCCTTTGGGAGAGAGGCAGGCAGCTAGAGGAAGTCTCACTACATAACTAAACGAAAAAGGGGAACAAGACGAAGCAAGCAACAAAGGATATAGTTTCGTCGAACTTACTAAGGTAAAAACGGGGAATTTTATTTCAAAGAAGATAAATATATGGGGTATTTGATTGACATTGCATTGATTAACGAAAGAGAAAGGACATTAAGAAGAATCTCAGAAACATGGTGATTGATTCGACCGATCATGAACATAGCAGCCAAGTCCTACTACTATTATTGCTTAAGCGCATTCATCTACATCCACAACAAAATCCACTCACTAAACTCAAGTAGAATAAAGGTCGTATGGTTGAATGAACTCTTGAGACATCCACTTCAATTGATTCTAATTCATCTCTCCTATACATCCCTCTCTCTCCTTACCGGCCCAGACAAGACAAGTGAGATGAAGGATAGCAGGCAAATTAAGCAAGCAACACAACTGAAGGGGATCCATACTTAGTTAGGGAAGTAACCCAGGGAGTCGCCCTAACCCCCACCCAAGCAAAGCAAGTCAATCAACAAAGATAAATCCAATTCCTGTTGGGGATAATGTTGTACGAATTATTTTAGAATTAAATAGATTTTTGTCAACTTGAAAATTGATCCCGGCCAAAATAACACTAACCGAATCTGACATATCTTCAAATAACACGACACAACTTNGCCTGATAGAATAGAATGTGCATTTATCGATCTAGTAGATGAGATGAGAAATAACCATATATTGAATACCTGGCAAAAAGAACTTTACCGGATCATAGATTCGAAGTGAATGCTAATTAACGAAGAGGGTCAAAGGTATATCATGAATGATGGTAAGCTATTCAAAAGAGGTTTACTTGGAATTCTATTGAGATGTCTATATCAAGTGATTAAGCAATGGAGGTTATGCACTAATCACATGCTAGCACCTTGATGGAGCATCAAGGAGGAGGGAGAAAGCAGTTTCAATATTTGCTTAAATCAGAGAAAAAAAGGAATCCCGACTTGTTCGTTGTTACATCTGAAAGGTACTTAACTTCTTTTAAAAAAGTAAGGTCGATTACCTTGGCTAAAAAGGAATGAAGATAAGTCAATGCGAGGAGTAGTGAACGCCCGCCTCATCGAAAGTGACAAGTGACTTGAATATATTGTAAACTGGTCGAGGTGTGGAATTTACTGGCGAAGTTTCTACTCTATCCTGGCCCTGTAGTAACTTTGGTGGAAGTTTAAGGTTCTTCCCGACTAGCAGGGCTGTTAAAAACCCCTGCTCAAGTAGCTTCTCAGAATCCAAAGCATTTTTTAACTTGTCTGTGTAGCGTCTTATTGGTTTGCTAGTATAGTTAGTTTGTTTTTTGTTTTTTTTAATGATTGTTATAGTATGTGTGGCCCGCTATGGACGTTCTTCAATTGGAAGGTCAGAGGGTTTCAAATAAGTGCTCATCAATATGATTCTTTTATTATTATTATTATTATTATTATTATTATTATTGAATGAGTTGTCTTTTCCCTTTCCTTTTAACACTAGATTTGTGTAATAGGATTTTTTTGAAGGTGGAGTTAAGGGTGGTCCTATATCATAATTCACGGAGAAAGGGGAATGTGTAGCTGGCTGCGAGAGAGATTGAATGAAAAAGAAAGAATGTCAACTTTTTGGAATGCTATTCACCCCNACCCTCAATTATAAAATTTCTTACTTTGCACCATAAAATATTAGTTTTGTTTCATTTCACTCGAATAGATAATGACAAACTTAAAAATCTGTCATAAAATGAAGAAAAATCCCAAAAAAACTTTCCGTCAAATGCCTAGAACCACTTTATTTTATCTCTTTTGCAATCAAATAGTTGCTGTGAGGAAAAAAAAAGTCAACTAGAAGAAGAAAATTTGGAGTTTATGAAGAGCAAAGTCATGAATGAGTATTTTTCTTGATTTTTGACCTACACATGTGTAATAGGCAGTTGCTTATTGACAGTACAGATCATTCACATACTTATTTACCGTTAAAATTAATATATTAGAATGATATGAAATAAAATTAATATTTTATAATACAATGTGAGAAATTTTATAGGTGAAAGTAAAAAATAAAATAAAAATAATAGTTCACGAAGGTAAAGTATAATTTACCCGTTTGATTTCTTTCCCCCTCTCCTTCCTTCTCCTAATCAATTATTACCGCAGTTTTAGGCCTTTTAGAGGGAGGGGCCTCCATAATCTTCAAAGATTGAAGCGTAGTGGATGACAGTTATTAATCAGACCCATAGAATGGGAAATCATACAAGTTGTCATCAATACCTCCCCCTTTTCTTGTGCTAACAATGAGCTATAGCTATCAGGGAGGTGAAGACCTAAGGGTTTAGGGAAATTAAAGCTAGGGTCTGAATAGTGGCTAGTCACGATTTGATTTTGATTCGTTCATCATGATTATTTAAATTATAAATTAATTTATATTTGACTATATTTTTAAATTCATTTTATGAATAAACCAAATTTAAACAATGTGTGATTTGACTCGAATATTAGACTGGACGCGCCTAAATTGATGTCTATGCATAACTTTAAATTCATTGTCAAACAAAATTTTATGTGAAAGATGAACGACTCAAACATAGTTCATAGTAAGAGTCAAATCATATATACTCTTCTTTCAATGTATTCTTTGATTAATTATTGGAAGAATGATTTTTCACATATTGATTCTATGCTTGATAACTTAGAATTTGAGAATTTGTGGTTATGATTCTGAATTGATTTTTTTTTTTAAATTTACTAATAAGTAATAAAATTTTTTGCTAATAAATATAAAACAAATATTTGCAATTACCCTGTCAATGGATGATCCTAATCCCATTTAATTAGCTGATTCAGATTTGGATATACTTATATCTAATTCGATTATGCTCCTATCCGAATTGTTTATAAATAATTATAACCCATGTCTAAAGACACGATTGAACATAAAATTTGAACGCTCAAAAAATCGATCTTATTATATTAAATTTTCTTAACATCTGTATACTATCATGTACGAATAATGTCTGAAATAAAAATTATGTTGAATTACAAATTAATCAAATACTAAATGATTGAACATATAGTAGAAATTGATGATGTGATGTTTTTAAGGGAAAAAATAAGTAGGAATAAAAATTCAAGTTACTAAGTATTTTATTATATAAATTTTTATATAAATATTAAAAAAATTAAGTGATTATTTAAAGAAATTTACGTATAATTTGTTAAAATTTAGTTAATTAAATTATTTAGATTGGATCAAATTTTTATTTTTAATAAATTCAGATATGGACTATAAAAATAAAATCTGTTGAATTTCAAATCATTAACGGAAAAATAAAATTCGTTGGATTATCAAATCGGACTTTTAAAAATTAAATTTAAATTAGTCAAAATTTGATCCAAACTCAATCTCATGACATGCCTAACCCAACGAGTCGAGCATGAAAAAAATGTAAGATCGATAGTTAAACTCGACTATACACAGCTAAGACAAGCTTGAGTAGCACGAGATTTTTTTTTTTTAATAAAAAAAACCTTGATTTCAATCTTTCCCAGTACCACACACTATTATATATCTTCTACTTTTAACTTTACCTACAAATCGGACAGAGAAGACCTAAGCTTGGGTGCATGTACTAGGTGGCGAAGAAGATCAGACAACAGTATTAGCATGCTCAAGAACAAGACAAGAAAAACTGACTAAGTTTTTCCCACTCAAAAACCTTGGAGGTTGATATTCATAGGGATACCATTAGAAAGAGAATCAGTGGCATTAGCACTTGTAATTATTTTGTAGGAACAACTGCTTATACTATCTCTGATCACACTCATCTACTTGGACTCATTCATAACGTTCATGTATATATATAAGTGGCTCTACTGACTTTCTGGTGTTATTATTGCTTATCAAAGAAAGAATTAGCTAACCATAACTAGTGGTCTTTGGTCCAATGATACTCTTTGTCTTATAAAAACTTTGTCTCAAGGGTTCAAGTCTCCCTTCCCCTCCTCCCCAAAAGGAAAAAAAAGAAAATTAGCTAACCATAAAAGGTCAGTGAGAAGAGTGAGGTTAGTACAAGGCGAGCTTTGGGATTTAGAGCCAGTCAAGGGTAGAGCAAGGTAACGGGTTCGACTATTTATCGTCTGTAATAAGATTTTTTTTATAATGAAAATGGTACGATTTTATGTGTCCTTGGTTTCTTCGATTCTTTCCAAGAATCTAATAATTTGGTTCCTACCACAGATTGACCCAAATGAAGGTTAAAGATGCCTCTAATGGAGTCACTAAATGAGTTTCTTAGCTTGTTATCTCTCGCCTGAAATAGTTGAGCTGTAATTTGGTAGTAGCTTCAGACAGAAAATGGCATAAAAGAAGACAATGGCGCATCCCAGTGACACAACATATTTAGGACATGATTGTGAAGTAGTAATTAAGGTACCACGTCCTGTGATTTGTTGTTGATGTTGGGTAAGTAGTAGAAATTGTGTGTATGTCTTTCATAAAAAAAAAATAAAAATAAGGTACCACGTCTGTATAATTATTTTGAGGACCTAGTAAGGTTACGATGAGGGAATAAAGCCTATTGAATCGCTAGATTCAAAACACTATATCTCATAGAAGTGAAAGCCATAAGAGTGATAGCCATAGATGATAGAAACTCCAGACACACTGTGCATGTACTCCTGGTTGATAGGGATTTTATCTGTTGGTGGATTTGTTTCCAGTACATAGTTAGCAGAGTGGTTTCGTTGAATAATTCTATTGTAGAATTGTCAAAAAAAATCCATTTTTTCCCAGTGTTTTCATCGAAAACTCTAGGGAAATCTCGATTTAATGTGGAATATACACGAGATAAAGCCACAGAATGAGGAGTTCGGGGTTTAAACAAGTTGAGTACATTTCAATCATAATATTAATGGTAATAGTGAGATAGTAATAATACTAATCCTATTGAGTTGCTGGAGAGAAATGGTGATTAGGCTAATGAATTTGGTGAATAATTTCAAGAGGAATCCATGTGGACCTAAATACTTATGAAGATGTGGGACAGATTACAATTACATCATGTACGTGGGACAATGCATTCAAAATCTGAAGCAAATCAAGATGACCCATCTATGGTAACAACTTCCTAATTCATATCAATATTAGAGGGATTTGCGAGAGCTAGCAATCATTACTAGTCACCGTTAAAAGTTTTGAGACATAGAACAGTAAACCTCAGATAGAAAACTTTAGTCACTCACATCCAGCAATCAAACAGACAATTTTGTCCAAAAATAGGAAGGAAAGTACCTTGGTAGTGTTGACACTGATCATGAATAATATTACACTGTATCTACTAAGCAACTTTGCAACCTGTTTTCTGCTGGCAATCATGCAGAATTTGGAAAATCACTCCCTCCCTGCCTGCGTCAAATCTGTATATTTTGAGGAATATTTTCGGTAATCATATCGATTATATGTGACACTATACAAATTAAGAAATCAAAACAGAAAATGATAGAACGAGAACACAACAACTCTTTGTTCCATCTCATGATCAACTTAATGCAAGAATTCACTTTTTACAATTGGTATACGGTGCTTGAGCTATTTATTAGGAAATATATTTTGAAGAAGATCAAGTACTTGACCATTGGAAGAGCTCTAGCAACATCCAATATGATAAAACCTCCAGGCATAGTGAAACTTGTGGGAGCTTGAAATTGTAAGTGGCCTGAAATGATACCAACCCAGGAGCAGGAGTTAAGATGTGTAGAATAACAAAGGAAAATAACTTGAATAGTATAGATGACAGTGAAAACCAATAGATTCTGGCAATTAGAAACAAAAATAACTCAGATGCACAAGGATATGGGGTAGCGGAGGCCTTTCCACTGGCTAGCTGCATTCATCTGTGATGATTGGAATCCAATTTGCATTCCTAGTACCTTGGTGAGTAGACATAGCTTGGTGTCCCTGGAAAGGTTCATTTTTTAAGAGTATTCCCGGAACAGATTCAGTAGAGATGGGATGAGACCAGTAACTTAGAGGATTAGAGTATGTGGTTACAAATCACGGTGTCGGGGGTTTGAAACCCTCCTCGCCCACAACTGGCCCAAAAGGGAAGGATCTTGGAGGGGTATATGTGCTGAATTTTGATCTTCTTGTTCTCTCAAAGGAAAGCTTTAGTGAATGAGTGTTCTTAACATTTAAGTTCTGGTGTATATATGATAAGTTGGTCCATTTGGATTAGAGCGGGACAAAAATTTCCAATGCTTGGAAAGTGTAAGTAAATCGTATTGTTGGAACTCTAGCTCTAGCTAATACCACTTTTGTTGGAAATCAAAGAAGATTAACACACTCAAGACACAATGGAGGAAGTGGTGAATAAGAGAAATACACTTGGAACATTTTTTTATTTTTTCTAGAAAAATGACAAGAATACATGAGTATTTATAGAACACAAGAAATATATACCTAAATTTAATTAATGACTCCACATCTATAAAATGACTTTGGGAAATGTACATGAATAGTAAAATACATAAATCTCCACATACATGTACGACTTTTCACTTTGTGCTCGTTTAAAAAATCTTTTTATTTCAATTATCTTTTCTTTTGGATTTGCATTCCTCTACACGTTTGAATTGCGCATGAATTCTATAGATAATAAGGTTCTTTTTTAACCAAAAATAAACAAATAAGTTTTGAGTCTCCGGAATGGCTCATGATAAGAAACCAACTACACTGATGCAAACAAAAAACTGAAAGAAATATGTGCTAGAAATATCATCAGCAAAGAGAAATATATACCTTGCATTCATTCAGCCCAAAATTAAGACATTAGCTATGATACAAAGCAATGTGAGATAATTTGCCTAAGTTGCTTCAGCCCTTATCAATGGACTAAGAGAAAATAAAAAGACAATGTAAGGCATGGCAATCAATATCTCGTAGATATCTGAGTCTAATGAGGAATTTTAATGAGCATAGCAAGTAAAAACATAGGAAATAATATGGAGAACATGAAGCTGGAAGATATATTGTACTACTTTGTCATAAAAGTAATAAAAGGAATGGTGTTATTTCATGCAACAATGAGTATTCTATGCAAAATTCAGAATAGGAACTTTCCAGCAATGTTTTGAGTAGCAAAATTCAGAACCATGATAACAATTCTTTCAAACCAACTTCACAAAAAAAAGAGAAAATATTATGGCTGCAATTGGATCAAATAAAAAGGGAATTTGTATAAGAGCTCCTTTCATACACTGCAGACTTCATATCTAGGTAGGGTAGTGTGATTTTCAGTAGTTATCTGATACCGAAAAAAAGAATAAAAGAAAATGAGGATTAGAGTCGGATGAGTATAAAATATAGCTAGCATGACCAAACACAAGGACATTAAATAATGGAAAAAGGAAAGAAAGAATATAGGCAAGCAAGGAAACAGTACATGTGTGTTTGTTATGTGTTTCTTCATTTAAGATCTCCAAGGAATCAAAGATTAAGAGGTGATCTTCAGATGAATTAGCACCAACAAACAACTGCATTTAATACAAATGTTAGGTTCATTAGTTACACACGTTTTTCTATTCTATGTTTGCAGACAACAACAACAATATAGGTAATGTGATCATATCTAATGGCCACCTGTGGCGGGCACAAGATCGTACAGAATCCTATATAAAAGGGACAACACTCAAAAAAAGTAAAATAAAAAATGAGAAATATTGGTTTTAGAAACCACCAAAAACTGTAATTCTGCATGAGAGAGAGCACTGAGAGAACACACACAGAGTGAGCTCAATAAGGTCCCTAATCTTAGTGAGTGAAAATATTATGGTAAAGTTACTTAGATTTTTCTGGGCCTTTACTTTCAATATAACTATGCAAATTAGGGTTTTGAATACCTTTGGATTAGGGTTCTATTATGAAGGAATTGGGATGCCCTCAATTCCTGACCAGAATTCTTATTTCAACTAACAGAATTACTTTAATTTGTATGGGTTTCATCATTCAACTATGTCTTATCTGATCCAAGAAAAAGCTAATCATATTGCAATCATACTAATATATCATAGTATAAGTGATCATGAAGTGGAATTTTCAAGCCATCAACCAGATCCAAATTCTAAATAAAAGTTATGTTATATGGTAAATTTACCTCTCTTGAGAAGCAGAAAACAATCAAGCTGACTGCATCTGAAAGTTCGTTGTCTCGTCGGTGGCCTTCATTTGATTCCTCTTCTTCTTTTTCTTCTTGTACGGTATGCCCCTGGCCTTAGCTTGGGAGCCCCTTACATCTCGCAGATACAAACGAATAGCACCACTGGCGAATGGATTCGTCTCTGGTAAGCCACCGTTCTCCTCGTATGCAGCCCTAAGGCGTCCGATGAGTGCATCAAGGCTACCCCAAGCTTGCCTGAGAGGGCAAGCACAAGGCCCTGGTGGCTCAGGTTGACCAAAAAAGACACACCCTTGTAAGTGCACCTTAGTCTTCCCAAATTGATCAAGGTATCGAAGGAAATCTAGGACATGGTTATAGTTGCACTGTGACATGGCTACTGGGGGCCTCTGATTCTTTAAGTACTGTCCGAAGGTGTTCCAGTCTCGCCGCTTCTGCGACTCATATCGGCTCAATTGGGGTGGTTGCTGATGATCAGCTGGTGCAGAAACTGATCTTGATGACCCTTCTCCGGATTCTCTTCCCTGGCCACTCGACATCAATACAGCTAAGCGGTACTGCTGATGAACTGTTTTGGCAAGAGAAGGAAAGTATTATTGAGGGGGAGAGCAAGAGAAAAGAAATTAGAGAAAAGAAATTAGGGGTAAGACTGCTTACATCTGAGAGTTTCTTTAGACCTCTAGTGGCGAGAGTCTTGTAAATTGGATCGTCTTTTTTAGTGCGAGAGGGAAGGATTGCAGTGGAGAAATATGGAAATCAAATCACGGGGCTGCTAAGGAGACATGGTATGGGTCCAATGAAAGTGCTTTAGCTCTTCTTTTTCTTCCTCGGATGCATTATTTCTTCCTTTAATGGTACTATTAGCATTAACTATACATGTTTAAAATTTTTCTATATATTTATTATTAGTGCTGTCATCATCAGAGCACTCATTATCAAGCATATTATCATAAAATGGCACTATAATTTAACTCCTAGTGACCAATTGGCTAGTGCAAGCAATCTGTGCTAGGGCGCGTTTGGAAACCAGTTAAAACAGTAAAAAGAAAGACAAGCATAAGATATGGTAATATTCTCAGTGCTTGAAGTGATGAAGAAACTTGTCCCCCTCAAAATCTTTTGAATAGGTTTAGAAGCATTGGAAGATGGCTGTTCTTGGCTTCAGGTGGTTATTAGAATGTTTTCTAATGGAATAGATTTATCTAAAGCACAAAACAAATTGCATGAATTAGAAGAGCTATACTGGAAAGAAATGGTTTATATGACAGATGCATAATTGGCCACAGTAGTGAGTTAGTAAAATGCCCCTAAAGTGTCTCACGTGACTGACGCATGATGTTTTCCATCTTGCTTTTTAATGGCAATTAGTCCCGAGGACTATATTAGCTCAATGTTTGAACTTTGAAGACTAAATTGACAAAATTAAAACTTTAACGACCAAAGTGCATCAAGCGGCTAACCTCAGGAACCATTGGTGCAATTTATCCAATATTTATTTGTAAGAAAATTTTGGGCTGGATTTCTTCTTAGTTAAACAAGACAATCAGAGTCATGAGGTTATGTTGGTTTAGCAACAATAAGGGGCATGTACAGGTAAACTTGAGCAAAATTCCAGACAAGAGTTAGGTGTCATGGCAAGGGTGGCAGCACATTCGTAGACAAACTTAAGGGACATAAATTTAAATTAGCTCAAATTATAGGCTCAGAGCTCAAGGGAATAGTTGATGCAAGTTTGAACATTCTTGAGCAAAAAAACAAAAAAAATAGAAGAAAAACAAATTTACCCCTTCAAATGGGAAAAAGGAGAGAATGGAAATACTCATTTCACATACCCAAATTTTTAACCATTTGACCCATTGGGTGGAAGAGTGGGTACATATCATATTCTAAGTTGATATGGTTGACTCTCACCAAAGATTTTGCTTCTATAAAAAAAAGAGGTGATCATGTAACAGTCACAGCCATATGAACTTATTCTGAATGCCCAAATCCGCAAATGAACATATAAGAAATTATATTGCTGACATGTAGACTATGAAAGCTGAAATTTTATTGGTTGTTGAGGACTAGGGCTGTGACCCTAACCAAATTTTATTATAATTGCTTGCCACCCATCACCAACGCTGGTGATAATGCCTAGTGAGAATAATTTATACAAGTGTACTGCTGTTAGTGATGTTTTTGTTGTTTTTTTTTTCTTTTCTGGTTTCCTTTATCCTTCCTCTCTCTTGAAACAAGCATACAAACTCTGAATTATTAGATGTAAACTTGGCTTCCTGTTTCCCATGTTAAAGCTACATGACAAATTCTATATTGAGTGCATGCATGAAATTCTCTTCACCAAACCTACTGGCCTGTCTTCTTATGAAGCATTCGTATGCGTAAGATGAGAACTTTTAAGTACTTATTCTTTAACACTCATCCTCTGAGTTTTAATTTTATTTTGGGTGTATAATTTTTCTTGATGTCTCATTAATATCTTAGGTTACGTCTATAACCACTTGGGCTTTAGTCCAGTGTCCATCTGTGAAACTCCCAATGGCGATGCGTTCTGTGTGGACCTCTTTGGTGTTGTTTCTTCTGTCCCTTTGTGCAATTTTTCTTATAAATAGAGTTGATAATTAAGTCGAACTATTCGAGCTCGATTCAACTCGTATAAAAGAGTTGAACTTGAACAATTTTTTAGACTCATTTAAAAAACGAGCCTAAAAGATTTAGCTCGAGCTCACAAAGTTCGACTATTTTATATGTAAAATAGTCTAATTACTCGGATTTGCATCGTTTTGGGCTCAACACATTCTCTAAATAAACTGAACTTTAATAATTTGTTAACTTCCTTTATAAAAAACAAGCTCGACAGGCTCGGTGTGAGCTCGCAGCCCTACTCATAACCCTATTGTTGATTACTTCTTTCTTTATAGGAAGTGTGCGAGTTGATTGGCATTGATTGTAATGTTGATACATCTCAGGCCGTAGTATACAAGGATGTATTGTAATATTGATATATCTCACCCCATTGTGCGAACAATAATATTGATATATTCTATATAAAAAGTGGTTAGAAAATCCTAGAATTATGGTAAATGCTGGGTAATGTCAAATTGTCAACCTATTTTCAAAGGGCCAATGGCATAGTTGAGGGTTATTGAAAGCAGCTTGTAACTAATCTCATTCACAGCTGATTCTGGAAAAGATTAGTTATGAAGCTGTAATCAACTAGAATGGAATGACTTGACATTTGATTAGATAAGAAATTTGGGCCCTTATGGGCTGTCTTTGCCAAAGGGACTGCTATTTCTATTTGCTTATTTCTCACTAAATTTCCATTTCAGAAAGTGATAACTGTATTTGGATATTTTGGAAAGATACTCTATTCCCTTTGGATATTGAGTTAGTTCCACCAGTACTTTATAATGGTGCTTAAGATAGAAAATGACCTCTAAATTGATTTAAAAAGTCATCAATGATACCTAAATAGATTTTGGGGGCTGTTTGCCAGTGAGAAATGGACTATTCATAATCCATTTCATACCTTTTTTTACAAAAAAAATAAAAAAAATAAGCAAGTTTGTAACCGTCCAATTTTTTTTTTCCTCAAATTTTCCTCATTCAAGATTACCCATTACGATTTTTAGAAAAAAACCNAGCAAGTTTGTAACCGTCCAATATTTTTTTTCCTCAAATTTTCCTCATTCAAGATTACCCATTACGATTTTTAGAAAAAAACCCATTATNAAAAAAATAAGCAAGTTTGTAACCGTCCAATTTTTTTTTTCCTCAAATTTTCCTCATTCAAGATTACCCATTACGATTTTTAGAAAAAAACCCATTATATATAAATGGGTCTTTCACCAATAAATAATGGGTGGGGCTATTTTCACCTCTTAAATCTCCTTTCTCACCCTATTTAATTTTCTTACTTCAAAGTATTAAGTTCACCCCATTTGCACCCTTCTAATTAAACTATTAAATATATATTTCAAANGCTATTTTCACCTCTTAAATCTCCTTTCTCACCCTATTTAATTTTCTTACTTCAAAGTATTAAGTTCACTCCATTAGTGATTAAGTTCACCCCATTTGCACCCTTCTAATTAAACTATTAAATATATATTTCAAAGAAACCAAAACAAAAATAGTAAATGAAGAAAATTTTCAGTGTTATGAGGCAATCTAGAATATTTTGAGATGTTTTAATATATTTTTACCATTGTCTTCAAAATATTTTGAGTTGTTTATTTTAAAAATAAATTATTTATTTTTAATCTATTTTTGAAATATTTTCGTCCAAAATAATACATTGAAACAATATTTCGATCATTGCATAAATTGAATGAATTTAGGTTTTAATTAGTGAATATAGACGGTGTAAGTTTAGTAACAGATGAGGAGAGTATAGATGAAATGAACTTAGTAGTTTGAAGTAAGAGGATTAAATGAATTGAGAGTTGCCCCACCTATAAATAATAAACGATGAATCTGTAAGAGATTTTTAAAAAATTATATTTTAGGTGATTTGGATCCATTTATTTTTTACATCAACTTTTCCCAATAGGAAAAGTATTGGTGCCTTGCTTATCCCCTTCTTATGGGCTACTGTAAGTTTGATGCTATGAAGTACATAGAAATAGTATGTAACTGATCAGGTTGCCACTTTAAATCAGTTTCAATCAAATCCTCGGTGCCAAAAGGATGAAATATTTGACTTAATGAGCATAGACCTATAATTGTGTTAAGCTCTATCGAAAGCATAGTTCATAATTTGTAAAGGGTCCAAAGGCAACCTACATAGGAATCTATTAGTGAATAATTCTAACTAAGGGATGCTCCCGTGCGATGCACGAGATTGATATTTTAGTTATGTTTCATCGTTTTCACTAATTGTAATTTTTTGAGAATTTAGACTAGTTAAAGAATACATTATGGGGAGTTATAGATGGAATGAAAAGTTTCTTGCTGCGTAAAATAAAATTAAAATTCTATATAAAAAAAAAAAAAGAAAAAAAAGAAAATAACGGAGGGAAGACCTTGAAAGCTCCCTANTGGGTGAGTGAATAAATGGTGGAATTTTAAAAAAATTTCTTGCTGCGTTACATAAAATTAAAGTTCTGTATAAAAAAAAAAAGAAAAAAAACAAAATAACAGAGGGAAGACCTTGAAAGCTCCCTACCAACAAATTTATTTTGCTATAATAATATCTTATAATATAAAATAGAATAATTTTTAATCAATTTATTCAACAATATCAAATAAATTCATTTAACGTCATTTTCAAAACCATTAACATTGCACACGAGTTAGTCCAAATAAAAGATATATTAACACTTGTGTGTGGTAGACCGGTGGCTTTGGGCAATGGGCTGGAATTCCTATTATTGGCGCATAGACTTGGGCCGTGGCAAAAAAGAAATGGACACTGTAAAATTCTAGGGTTAGGAGAAAAGACCCGATTAGTGCCGCCCGATCCAAAGATATCTATAGACTATATAATAATTAGAGTTAATTGCAGTAGCGGTTACTCCAAGTATAAGATTTGTCTCATTTTGATCTATAATATTTTAATTACATATTTTAGTTCTTGAAATATTGAATGTATTTCTATGTAGTTCTTCAAACAGACAACATTCAAATTGCTAATGATTTTTTTTATTACAAACTTGTCATATAATACCTAATTATAGAAAAAAAATAATTTGAATAACCCTTGATCAAATTTTTATCCAAATTTTGGTCAACTAACTACCCAAATTACACAGTTTTGATCATGAGCTATTCAAATTTTGGTCAAGGACTACCCATATTACATATTTTTGGTCAAGAACTATCCAAATTATTAGTTTCTCATATTTAGGTATCATGCAATAAATTTATGATAAAATATAGTTTGCAATTTGGATGTCGTCCACTTTAGGGACTACATAAAAACATATTTAATAGTTGAAGGACTAAAATGATGTAATTAAAATATTAGAGATTAAAATACGATAAATTTTATACTTTGAAAACCTTTAGTGTAATTAAGCCTAATAATGATAACATTGTATGTGAAAATAAGCATGGCATATAATAGAGATTGAGGTCATTCCATAGGGTCGGTCCATTACTGAGCTTGATCCAGTAGAGGTCAGCTTGATTCAAGGATGGCCCAGTTTAGGCATGTCGCCACAGAGGTCAGCCCAGCCCAGTCCATTGCCAAAGCCATTGTAGACTTGTAGTTTATGCATAGGTTAAAGTTGACACAAATTTTTTTCCTTTGAAGTTATTTAATTGGTTCTTACTTTTCATAGTAAACAAAAATTTAAGGGAAAGACTATGATATTGTGGCAAAATATTTTGGTACATTATCGAAAGTTATTATTTTTAAAGGTGAAGTTACAACTAATTGAAATAATTTACAGTTGATCATAAAATATTATAATTGATCGTTAGTCATTTGAATCAGTTGTAATTCATCATTGGCAAGTTATAATTTTACCTTTAAAAATTATAATTTTTATGATCGATTATCAAATTTTTTAACACATGTAACTTATATCTCAAAAAATTATAACTTAAACTTACAAAATTATAAATTTGATATAGTACTGCTTTCGGTACCATAGAGTCTTGCCCCAAAATTTAAATTTTTTATATATTTCTTGTCGAATAATATTTAATTTGTAAATATTGCAATTGTATTTAGGGCTTAAATAGAGTTAGCTTAAATAGGTGGCTTCGAAAGGTTTTGGAGTAAAATAAGTAAGGTTCATTTGAACCGTGATTTTTTTACCAGTTAAGACAGCAATTTTTTGGACCAAAAAAAAAGTATTTAGATTGATTCAAGAAGTTGATTTTATAAGTTTTTTTCTGATTTTTTG